CCAGCGTCCGCAGCGCAACAACGGTTTACCCTAATTCAGTTCGTTTTCCAATTCTATCAGCTTTCAACCACTTACTAAAAATAACAATACCAAAAACGTCGCACTAAAAGCATTGTCAATAAGAAAAAACACAGAGAACGAATGCCGTATTTTGTTTGCGCCAATAATATAATTTATTCACATCGCAAAACTGGCCTATAATTATGTTTATTATAACATTACGACAAGTGGGTTTCAAGGGTCATCTTGTTTAATGATGTTGTAATTTTTAGTCTTAAACATTCGTGCTGTTGTAAAGCATACAAATTAATACAAGTCTAGACTTTGTTAATGTAGAGGTGACTCTACAACGACAAGTAAGTATATAAAACAAGTAGTGCAACTCCTGTCTTTTCGGCGCGTCAATACCTACACATCACCTGGAGCGTAAATAAGGTTGTCACATTATTATTTTGGTTGTACCTACAGATAGTAAACGTAATTTGAAAAAAATGAGTAATCATCACAGTTTTCTCGTTCTAAACTAAAATAACCTTTGTCAAACGCAGTTCTTATATATAGATATTTTTATATTAGAGATATATTAGAGATTGTGGGAGTATGATAGAAATTAAATGAAAATAGAAATGAACAATTCCGAATTAGAAGCACTCTTGTTCAAACAACAATAAACACGTCTTCTATTTGATTTCATTTTTTAAACACCGAGCGAAAGCTTCGTTTCTATAATAAATGACGCGATTGATGATCCGCACTATAGTACTCGAGTGAACTGCGAGATTATGCGAATATGTGCGCCCGCAACTACGTGGCGGCTGACGCAGAATAAGTACCAATTGAGACGGCGCTATTTTTGTCGGCAATCGATTTGTGTTGTACAAACTGCCTACTATTGTTACCCTCACCACAGTTTAATCAATAGTTACTACCTAACAGATACATAACTCTCATACAAAATGCCTACGCTACAATAGCCTACTACGAGAAAAAGGAATCTAACCACGCGCTCAGAGAGGTGAAAATAGCGTTGCCCGTCGTGTGCAGTTCTGGCGAAGTCGAGAACTCATAAATGAAAGACTTGTATAAGAGCTTGCACCGACGTCGGCGCACTCAGCTGTATGCATTTAGCGCATAACCTTGAGCAAGTGACGGAGCCCTGCTCTCGCCGAATAAAAATTAATTGCAGATAAATCGGACACCAAACCCAACAAAAATAAGGTAGTCGTCTACTTTACGCCTTACATACTCTTAAACGAGACTTTATAATATACTAGTGTAACGTGCAGTGTTCTTAAATCTATGGCAGTTTTCCCATGAACGGCTTTCAAAACTTCTGAAGCAAAAATTATTAATATCAGAAAAAATGGTAGATATGCCACCAAATGCGAGTAATATTCACGTTCAGACTTCTTATATTCGATACCTTTCATAATCAGCTTTTTTTCTCAATAAGTACGTATTTGAAACTTCGTTTCATTTTTCTCTATCATTCTGAATAGGTACGCTGATAAAACAATGTGATTGGAATGAACAAGTTGTTGTTTAAGGTAACAAGTTTTTGTCCGAACACAAGACCGAGACCCATGTCTTTCGGCTGAAATGATAATGGTAATAATAATAATATAAATGCTCGATACGGCTACCATCCTGGACTGCCACGCAGAGGTAACAGGTTAGGAATATTTGTTTGGCGTACATTTATTTCTCTCGTGAGTTTGGGTGTAATTTGTGGTTGTCTATGTGTGTGTCCAAGGCATCCGCGATACAAGGTTTTCCCTAGTGCGGGGCTATGTTGAGTGTGTACGTTATTATTATTATTATTATTCGCTGGTTTTTAAACCTGAATACCGCCTTTACCTTTCAAACATTCTAAATTTATCTTTCAGGTCATGGGAGAGGCGAGAGTTTAAAATAGATTAATAAAAATAATAGTCTTTATTTGTTAATAATTATCTGGGTACACTGAATTCATAACGATGGATGATCATAGCTGCATACATTTCACAATTTTTTTGTCAAAGTATCAAAACGACACAAAAATATTTAACCTGCTTTTAAAATAGTCCTGATAGCCATTCTCACAATAGCTCGACTCATAATGTCTATAGGTAAAGCCTATAGGTATCATGGCTTTGTTTTATACAATCAATATTCGGATGGACTATTTACGGTATCAATCACGATTCAGAAATTAACAAAAATGGGACAATACCATCTAGCGGACTATGTGGAACTACAATGTGAAACTTTGTAGTGCGAATAATATTTCGTTTGCTAAGTGACGAAAGACATATACATTAGTAAGATAGTACATGCACAAAACGGTACATTGTCAGAATTTTTTTTGAAACGTGATTAAAATCAATGTTTTTCAGTGTAAATGCAGATTATTTTACTTATAAATTTCGGGAACAAATAGTACGAAACAATATTTTATCACAGTTTTGAGCATAAATAAAAAACTATTCATTAATAATAGTTTTGGAGTTTGCGACGAAAACCATTTCATAATATAACCACTTACACAACTTAGCGACTCCTCTTTCAGATACCGTCAAATCAAAACCATTTTACCAAAAAAAAGTCAAATTATATTTTATAAAGGGATTCTTCAAAAACTTTGTTTTTAAATTGATACCTTAATGGTTTCTTATTTACCCTTTATGGTAGAAAACCCTAAATGAATACGCTCGTGAAAACGTTTGAAATGAAAAGCAAATGGAAAGTTCTTGGAAATCTTTTTTTATCGAAGTATTCGGTATTTTAAATGTATATATTCTGGAAACTTGGAATGATACAAAAGAATTAGGTTCAATTAGTCAACAGCGTATTGAACGTTAAACTTTAGATTTCTGACCGTCTCATCGTGGTATAGAGTAAATTTACTCATATTCCCGAATTCTAATCCATGCTCAAGTCCCTGGCTTGAGTATGATTTAAAGCACTGAAAATCATACTAATGTCCTTGGGTCCTAAGGGTCGTATTTCCAGTGCTTGAAATCGTACTCAAGTCTGCTCAAGTCCTGACTTGAGCATTGAGTAGAGTTCTGGAATACGACCCAATAGTGTCCGTAGACATGTGCGCCGATTGTAAAACCGTTTGGCGATGGCGTCTAATGGTTTTTTGTCATTGGCGTGGGATATTATGATATATTTCAAGTATTAATAAAATTTAAACTCATTGTATTCATAAAACCTTGGTATTCATTTTCAATTAACACTTTAACATGTACTTGAGTAAGTATACAGGCGCCTATACAGTTACAAGTATAATCAAATTAACGTATATATATATATATATGTACGTAAAAAACAATATGGCACAAAAACGGTCTTAATTTAAATCTAGTATGAATAGGATGTTTGTAGACAAGAACGTAATTCATTTGAATTTTATGGAAATATTATTATCATAGTCTATTTGTTTAGGTACTTCACTAACAATCTCGAGGTGTCTATTTATTGAAAAATACATTTATAAAATCATTTTTACTTAACTTCAAATACAAAATACAAATACTTGGCTTCATATGAAATTGCATGCCTATTTTTATACCTATTGATTTGTAAAGCATATGTTTCAATAAAAAGATGTTTACATTTAGTTACATACCTAAACAAATAGACTATAGTACCTATACTTTTGAAAAACAAAGTTTCACCACGAGCGCCGTTCTAATTTGTCGATGCGGAAAAATCGTTGGTGGCGATATTTGCTACAACGCGTAAAAGTTTTATACAGGGAAGTTTATTTTTAAAATCAAATTTTATTTTATGAACCACATAGAAAGACTTTATGTATTGACATAGAGAGTGTCCATAAAAATCAAACTCCAGAGATAATAGCAAAACATCTCCGATAGTATAAAATCGATGCGATACATTTTTAGATGCAATAAATATTCAAATACGACGCACTCAAATATCCCGCAATGTTGGTAAACAATCCTCCTCCACGTGTCGATTAGTTAGTAATAAATGTTTAATACATTACGCGGAGCTTATTTGTTATTAAGTTGTGGGAACAATGTGTAATGAAATTTCAATAACGTAATATGGCTATTACTTTAAAAGCTATTTGTTGCTTATAACTGCCTCCGTGGTCGAACGGTATGCTACAATTATTTCTCTCGTGAGTGTGGGTCTAATTTTTGGTTGTCTATTATGTGTGTATTCATGGCACCAATGACACAGGGTTTCCCTAGTGCCCTAGTTGAGAGTGTGCGTTATTGAGTGTGTGAACCAAAATGAACCAAAACATAACTATTCAATGCATTTAAATATGTACTCTAAAAACTGTGGACAACTTTAGAATATTTTTAATGCTGAAATACCTCATTACTACTTAATCTGTGATATAAAATTTCTTCAATTGGTTACATTTCCCACATTTTTCGTAACTTTTGAGAACGTAGCTATTTTTTTAGTTTACCTATATTTGTTTTTGAAAATTGTAGATAGTTTACGGACGCACTCAAATCAAACACTTACTTATAGAAATAGCCAGAACGCGTTCTGGTCTCTTTAAAATATCCATAAACATTTCTTTGAAATATTTTTTCCTCGGCCAGCATATTTAACGAGACCATTTAAAACATCCATTCCCGCCGTAAATTCCAGTCATAAATCTACCCACGCCCAAGTTGTAAAGGTATATTCTAAGATTTTCGTCACTGAGCTGTTTTCTATACACAAGGCAATCTACAACTGGATTCGCGTTCTTTAGCACTGATCTTTCGCTTATACCTCCAACAGCGTAAAAGTGCCATCTAACTCATTTTTAATTGCTATTTAAGAGCTTTCTTTTTTTTAATTATCGGATACAAAACTATTTAATGCATATTTCTTCTCCAATAGAGAAATGATAAAGTAACTCATTTAAATTCAGGTTAAAACCATCCATTGATTATTGTAACGTTTACCTACTACTTGGGTAATATACGTCCTTACAATTTAGTTTTTAAACTCATGTAGGTATAAATTCAAAATTTCGTGTAGGTTTATAATGAGTATAGTAGTTTTTGTTTATAATTTAAATAATATATTGTTTTGTAATTAAAGCGTAATTTTGGACAACAAAGCAATGGAACACCAGTCTTCATTTCTTTCAGATGAATCATCTTCTTTTAGAGCCGAGACTGAAATAAAAAATATGATAAATTAAGAAACTATTGTTCAAAGACTAAACGCCCAGGTGCACCTGAATTCGGAAATGTAATATTCTTTCCAAAGGTAATTCTAAAAAATATAATTGTTATCTAGATGTTCCAACTCTTTGCAGTATTATCTGAAGTAAATGTGTTTAAATAATTACCTGTTCGCCTATATGGATAGCGAGTATCATATCGAACTCAATAGGACTAATTGAGATTTGAGCTAGGCCGTCGTTGTCCACTGTAATGGTCTTGCCTGTGCATGAATTTCCATTTTTCGAGCCCGAAATTATATCACAATATCTACCAGCTGGAAGACAGGTCTGGAAGAAAAGACATAGATTCATTTCCAAAATTACTAATATAAGAAAATAGAAAAACAAATGCACAACAAATATATGTATCAACACTAGCAACTCAACGCACCAAGAACTAATAACAATAATTGGCAAAGGGCACACTATATCATAGCTACCAGAACTTACAACCGACGGGAAGAAAGGTTTAAAATTCTTAATATTATAACAACCAACAGTTTTCAACAAATCCACTTTTGTATACAACCTACCTGGAGACCTTGGTTAAGAGCCCATTCATCATTATTAAAAGCGATGAAAGCAGCATTGCCTCGACAGAAGGCGATTTGATTGCTACCGTTATCCCACCAGTTGTTAATGCTTTGACCAGCCGCGACGTTCCTGAAAGTTACCATCTGGTAGATCTGCCGCCAGCGGTGCTCACACACCCAGCCGTTACCGCAGGAATTGTCCTGGTTAAGATTAAAAAAAAAATTATCTTCAACCAATTGAGGAATTTTATTTATTTTACTTTTTATAAATTTCGTTTTTAAAAACATTTATATCAAAAAGTCCAGTAAATTAATTAATAGTATTTCCATTCGGAAATCCAAGAGGAAACCAGTTATTTTACTCACAGAGTTAATTGAAGGGGAAATGATGTTCTCGTTGCTGTCCTGCGGAGGTCCAGCTTCAGTGTCAGTGAAATCAAAGCTGCTTATCATCTGAGGCTCACCATAAGGATGAGCCAACATGAATGCAATAGCTCCCTTGTACTGTTTAGCCCGTTTGTAGGTAAGGATGTCACCACCAGAACCATGGCCTCTCTGGTTGTCATGGTTGTCAACAAAAACCATAGCAAGATCGGAATCCAAAAAGTCCCATTCAGGTCCCCAGCTGACCAACCACCTTAATTGGTTATAACCTAAAAAGGCTCTGCTGAGTTCCATACCAAATTTGAACTCTTGCACATCACCAAGTGGAGTGTATTCATTCCGAGAAACAGCTTCATGTCCAAAGTCAATGACTTCTTGGTAAATATAAGGACGAGCGCCAGATGGGAAACCATGATCGGTGTTAAGGTTGTGTAGTCTGTCGAAGATAATTTGAAGGTCGCTGGGCCACATGTGTTTTGCGGCGTCAATTCTGTAAAAGAAGACAATATTTAGTTGCATCACAATATCAGATGCGCAGCTAGCTTACAGATGTTTTGGAAATCCTTAAGATCAATAATAATGTAAAAGTACCTAAAACCAGCAACACCTAGGTCGATCATGTGGTTGAGGAATCCAACGATTTGATCGCGTACATATTCAGAAGTTTGATTCAAATCTTTGAGATTTCCAAGTTCGCAATTGCGTACCTAAAAAATAAATTAATTCGAATAACGATTTGTGGAATTTTACGTCTGCTCAAAATTTGAAATTCCTAACATAATTTTTGTTAATATATCGATTTAACTATCCCTAAGCATTCCTTAGGTTTTTGATGATTTTTTATGACTCGACTTTTGAGTGGCAAATTCCAAAAACAATGTTCAATTACTAACCATAAAACCACTTGTTTTTTGGTTCATCATCATCATATCAGCCGGAAGACGTCCACTGCTGAACATAGGCCTCCACAAAAATTTCCAGACCAGCCGATCGGATGCGACGTACATCCACAAAATACATGTATTGATTGATGATACCCACAAAATCACAAAATGTGAACTCTGTACTTTAAAATTAATGTAGTTGGTCTTTTTGGAAGATATAAGTGTTCTATTTTATATTATATTCATCATTTCGGGTTTAATAGTAGTGGCTTTTTCATTTTCATGATATAGTGGTGGTGGCAGACTTCGTTCTTAGAAGAGAAGGTACAGTAGTGGAAAAGTTTTCTTAGGAGATGAACAAAAGACCTGTGACTTACCCTATCTGGACAGCAGCCATAATCGTGCCCATAAATATTACAATGAGGATAGTTGAAATCGTTACGATCATAAGGTACAGCAGGATAGCTCCAGGTATCAAATTCAGCAATGCTACCACCAGTACCGACGTTGTCATCCCACGTCTGTGTCATGTGATTGATGATTGCGTCTACGTAAATCCTGCAGACATTTTTTTTATTTTAAATATCTTTATCTCTTCTTCTATCTTTATCTTTGAATCTGTTGTAATTCTTTATATGAAGAACAACTAGTATAGTTATATAGAAGTTCGTAGAGAAGTAAATTAATTTGCTTCTCCGCGAACTCAACAGAGGTTAAATCATGCAAAATAGCTACACTTGTGTTGATTATTTTTTTGTGCAGTTAATTTTCCTACCCTCTCCCAGCATAAAATTAATAAAATAAATAACGCACGCGCATCTACAGTCACAGACCCCACCAAAAACATATCTGACACGTCTTTCACTTCTCTATGAGGCATCCTGAGGATTGTAGATTTTTCACCGTTGGGCCGGAAAATGAATGAATTATTATGATATGAACAATGTGTAGATTCCATTATTCAAAGATTATATACTATTTTGTGTTTTGAGAATACATACCGTACACCAGCGTTATTGCAGCGTCGGACCATGTTGGCGAACTGTTGTTCATCACCAGAGCGGGTAACCAGGTGGTATGATATGGGCTGGTATCGCTCCCACCAAGGACGATTATAAGGCCTAATTATCAGATTTTCACTGGCCGGAGATGTCTGTCAAATTGAATATTCATTCGCACATTACTTTCCTTTATATTTGCCATATATTTATCTGATAATAATTTACTACATTTCAAAAATTTAAAAAACAAAAAAACTCATCTTTCTGTCTGCATTTTTACGTGCCTACAATATTTCACAGTGACTTTCAAACAAATCAGTAATAATACATATCATACTAAGTCTCAATGCAATAAACACAGATTGACCTCCTGTTGCCACGTTATTGACATACCTCTTTGTTTCATACACTATTAGCAGTCTTTTTTACAGATACTGTTTTAATCACGATACACGTACCTATGACTTAGGGTTACCCTTGTCCTCGAACAAGATAGGTAGAAACGGACCTCTACTTGCTACGTTTCTGATAATATTCCATTTTTTCTTCCACTTTCATCAATATTTTCATATACACTCGTTTAATTAGGATATATTTGACCTGGGCCTTTTTAAAATACATCCTAAATATATTAGTAGTTACCTGGACACCTCCAAAACCATTAGGACCTAAGAAGCGTTCGCACTCATCTGCAATGTCGTCCCACTTCCACTCAAAAAGATGAACCATAGTGGAACGTCCTGCGGCGTAATTGGGATTGTGATACGCTACGACCGCGGTCACCGCCACGAGAAGGAGTATGAGTCGAAGCATCCTGCCAATTTGGGATCTCAAGTCATTCTAAAGTAATTTCTGCTTCAAAAAAGACAGCATATTTGTATAAAATTTAACAACATAACAGCTGCAGGTGTTGTTTTTGATGTTAATAATATATTTCTTTTAAAAACTCTCTATATTTGAATATCAAGACAAGTAAACTTGCTGAACAGCTTCGAAACTTACCTTTGCGTAAATATTTGCTATTTCAATTCTTGTAGGTAATTAATATATTGCATTACAAAACTCTCCATAGAATCAGAATTAAGTTAATTATTTTAGTATTTTTGCTCTAAGCCATAACATCTTTCCAAATTATCTTAATATCAGAAAGAAACTCACCTGGTTTCCGTTAGGCAAAAATTATAACAATGTATTAAAATAACTGATTACGGCCACCCATCCCGATTCTCTTTTATATCGAAAGATAAACTAAATCTCTTACAGATATATCGAATCGTAATGTGTCTTAAAGGGTGTTTCAAAAAGACAAATAACTTCGTCTCACGTTCAGTGACACAAGAAATTGCCTTAACGTCTTAAATTTATGTAAAGTAAGTAACTTTTTCTTATCGTGTCGATGGCATACGCTATAATGCTTGTCATCGTGGTGAAAGGATTTGCCAAAATAACTTACTTAAAGTAACATAATATGTTTTGAGAAACAAAAGCCTTTCAAAAATCGAAATTGACTTAATTCAGCTTTTCTTTCCAAATCAATAAAAACTTGAGCGAGAGCGACGTAAAGCGCGAGATACTAACTGCTACTTGTGCTATTCTTCTAAATCAGCTCACTAACCATGAAAAGCAACATTACAAAGGCTTTGGTATTTTACCTT